GGAATTCTGGGAGTTGAAGTCCACCCATCTTAAAGTGGCCAAGTCGGAAAAGCACTGGAATAGAGGGAGAAACAGAATGCAACTTGCTTAGTCCCTGAATAAATTGTTTAATTAAGTCATTGCAGAGCTTCTACTTTTGAATAAAATGTGTTCATTGGACAAGTTGCTACCAATCTCCTGATTTTTTGGCCAGCCTAGATCGACGCAACTCTTCTCCTGCAATCTCTTTCGAGCAAAGAACTTCACAAACATGGTTCCCCAAATCATGGCTTAACATCACACCATGCCTCTGGGTGTGAACCAGGTCATGAACGTGGGTTGATGGTTTTTGGCTTGGCATATTGTGTTTTGATGGATGGATCATTTTTTTATTATCTATGAAATATAAAATATTAATTTCTTTTATATTGGCACACTCTGCAAGGACTCAAGGCATAAACCTGGCCAGATGTTGCTCATTCAGTTAACTATGGTTAAGCAAAGCCAGACTCAGCATCACGCTCGAACCTAATCATAGACTAATGGTGATAAACACGCACACGCACACACACGCACAGAGTGGGGGGAGAGAACCCCCATGGGGCAGTCTGACAGTGGATTACTGGCTGCGGCTTCTCCCAAAGGATGCTGGGAATTGTAGTCTGCTGAAGCTCAAGCAACTCACTTTGCCAGCCTTCGTTGTGAAATTGATTTAAATACAGAATGGGAGGGTTAGAGATCATCTGGTTCAACCTGCTCCTTTGCCCTTCTGCAACTCAAAAGCAGCATTCCAGAATGGAATCAGAAAATTTAGGAAAGCCAATAATGCTGAAATTGACAGAAGACCTTCAGAGGGAAAGCCATCTTGTTCCGTTGCAGGGAACCTGCGAGAAAATCTCGTGGAATCTTAATACGTTGGCACTGATTTCTGGCTAATCTCCTCTCCTCTTTGGCATCCTGTCTGGGCCCCTATTCTCTCTTCTGGGAGGATGCAGCCAAGTCCCCCACCCCTTCCTTAATAAAGGAAAGGTGAGATAAAGAGGCCCTAAAATGCCCCATTGTCTGTGTTTTCGTGGAAGCCCAAACAATGTTTGTTTGCCCAGTTAACCATTTAACTCACCGCCAAGGGAAACGGGACAGCAGATCAATACGCTGCCAGTTCCGGAGATAGAGAAAGTCACCGAGAGTCATTTTAATTTTGCTTGACACCAGAGCGGGATAAAAGTTTTCTGGAGGGGGTGTCACTTTACCCAAACCAAACTCTAGAGGTGCTTCGGTGGTGCCCCCAGCAGAAGCTGAGCCAAACCTTTCTCCTCTTTTAGCAGATGTGGTTTTTTCAGACACCCCCCCGCCCCCCCGCCCCCCC